GCCACCACCTTTGCCATTTCTTAACCTCTTACTCAAGTGTTCCAGGAAATCTGCAGCAGTACCAGGACAGAATCAGAGCTTGTGTGTTCATTTTTTACACACATTGATGCTAACACAGACACATTCAAGGTTTGAGAGAGGAAGTGGCATTTATCTGATAACTCTACAGAAGATCTTCCCCTTACAGGGACCTAAAAATTGGTTTGCTTCTGATAGTTCAGATAAAACGATAACCTTGTTGAGGTCCTTCAGTGCTAATTTTAATATCTTTTGTTATTCCCAAGTAGTACGCAGTTCCTATCCAGGATCCTAATGAACTTGTGCTTTAACTTCTGGAAGGGGGAGGGGGGAGACTTGGAAGGGGAGATTGGAAGCTAGGCTGATTCCCTAAAGGGAATGTCTGCTCCCAGGTAGGAACAGAAAAGTCTGTCTCTCTAACCTCCTTCCTCTCTCTACCCCAAAGGAGTGACTGACCTGATCAGTGAGAGACAGGACAGGGTCTGAGCTTGTGTGATCCCAAGAGTCTTCTTTTTGTCTCTGGCAGGCTTACATGCCTGGCTGCCAGCAGTTCTGAGGAGGTAAGTTTAACCTCGGATGGAGGAGGGGAGCAGGGCACGCAGGAGTGTTAGGAAGCCAATTCTGGCTACAGGCCAAACTGTATTATCTAATCCAGCTTCCCAATTTACTAAAGCTGACGTTTTGATCCTCCATTTCACTCCTGTGTCTATTTCTTAATTGGTTCAGATCTAGGTAGGAAGAGGGATATGCTTTTTACTCCTCAGACTCTAACAAGACCAAACAAAGGAAGCAGCATATGACATTTAATGCCGTTTGTTTTATGAAGGCCTAGATGTTAAACAAAACAAAACAAAACAAAACTCTAGCATGTCCTAAATCTCTAATTCCAGTTCCTAATTCCAAAGCACAGAAAACCCCAGCAAAATGATCATCAGAAAAAGCAGGCTGAATAACTGAACTTTTGCTTATAATAATGAAAAAGCACCAGAAAGCTAATGCTGTTCTGACTCTCAGCTGCCTTTTCAGAGAATGGAGCTCTGTTCTTCAGCTCTAGAACCTGGTTTGTCTGCAATACTGTCTCACAGCCTCAGGACCACTTCAGCTGAGTCAACCCTCATGCTTACAATCAAGCTGGCTTCACTGTCAAGGCACCGAAGAGATCTGCCTAGGATCAGCCAAGAAACAAGGGTTGTCCTTGTACTGACCCTGCCTCCCCCCACGGTGTCCTGATTGAACATGGCATCACCATGGACTGCATCAGATCTTTCTAGGCTGTTTGAGAACAGAGTAAACACTCACATTTTTTATGATGTGGACCACTGGAGCTGTGCTAAAATTCTCCAGGGTGGGGGGAAGACCCTGTTCATGATGGAATTCTCTTTTCCATGGCCCTGGCATTTATATTAGGCAGTATGTGCCTCAATCCACCCCTAGATAAATGCTTTACGATCAAGCCCATCTTCCAAAGGAAATATGATCATCTTCTATCAGAGTGGGAATTGTGGTTATTCAATTCACTTAAAGAGCAAACAATGACTGAAGTATTTCATTCATTTATTAAAAACAGTGGAGTGTTTATATGAACTACCATGTGTATGTTAACATAACACACCGAGTGAGAATAGCACTGGGGAACGGTCTGGTTAAGTGTTCTGTTCTGTCAGTTAGGATCTCACTTCACTGGTTTTCACAGTTGATTTAGCTGCTGTCCTGTGACTCACATGATGGTCTCAGGGTTCCAGTTTTCTGACTCTCTCTTCTACTTCATGTGTATAGCACCTGGGTGCAAAGGCAAATGCCAAGGAGAGCCTGTGAGCCTGTGAATGTGTATGTCTATGTGAGTGTGCCTTGTTCTGGCTCCAGGAGGAGCCCTCTTGCATCACTTCATACCAGGCAAGCAGAGAAGCTGGCTCCATCTCTGTGGAAGACAAAGAACTCGGACCTCCCTTTCTCTAGCATGTCTTCTTTACAGTCCACCAATCCCACTCCACAGTTGCCAATGATCCGGCTCCTTGCCCTAAAATTACTCTATTCTTCCCAATTCTTTTATTTCTACCCAGTCTGGCTAGACATTTCAAAAATAAAGAACAGTCCCTTCTAAGTTATAAAATTTTAAATAAGGATAACAAAAAAAAAAAAAAAAAAAAAAAAAGCAGAAACCAATGAATCAAGAGCAGAGAAGCAATAGCCAGTCTGGATGACCAGAAGTTGAAGAACTCTGACTCTGGGCCTGCCATTATCATTGAATCCCTCAGGCACTAAACTTCTGCTACATTCTTGGTATAAGCTCCCACCCTGGATCACCCATGGTGTCGGTCTTCTTTGTGCCTTCCTTCAGGTTGAGCATTAGAGGAAATACAGAAACTGACTCAGCACACTAAAAAAACTCCCACTATCCAATTTCAGTTTGGACTTCACCACCTTTCCTTTACTTAGTCTTGCCAATTCCCCAGCAGTGGACATTAAAAAATAGCTATTCCAAAGCTTCTCTGTTCTCCCCCAGACCCTAATTCAGGACAACCCCTACCCCGTTCTGGCTACTACACATACAAATCAATCACCTCAGATGACCTCACCTTCTCCATCAGGCTTAAACACTCGCAGGCTCTTTCCATTTCTTGTCAATGAACCTATTCAACTGATAGTGCTTAGACTTCATCTTGGCAAAGGAGATGATTCCAAAGCCATGACCCCTCTCCAAATTTGAGCCCCGTCCTCCAATTTGCCTACTGGATATTCCTTTATGCATGTCCAGCTAACATGGCCTCAAATTGACCACCCAATTTTACTTTCTCATACCATCATTCTCCCAGGTACCATGCCTCACAGTCAAGGGAGCAGTGCAAAAGAGGACAGAACTTCACAGTTGTCAACACTTAGGAAATCACCTGGGGTCAGCAAATTTCTTCTGTAAAGGGTCAGACCATAAATATTTTAGGCTTTGTGGGATAAGAGGTCCCTGTTGCAACTACCTGATTCTGTTGTTGTAACTCAAAAGCAAGCATAGACAATATTTATACAAATGGGTATGGCTCGGTTCCAAAAAAACTATTTATACAGACAGGCAACTAGTCTATGTGTAATAATTTTACAACCCCTAATCTATATCACTATCCTAATCAGGTTCTTGCTCATCTGATCAAATCCTAATTTTTGCTAATTATTACTTGAGTGCTGTGTAAATATTACTCCTGTAAAAACTGGCTCTTTATTATATGCAGCAATTCATCTTTGATCCAAACATCCCTTCACCAATATAAAGGCCAGATGATGAGCTATTCATACCTACTATTTTCTGTGAAGTTAGACATGGAACGCAGTGCCACAATTTGCTTCCCAAGGACTTACCATCATATTTTTTCCTGAATTTTAGGCGACTGTTACCAATGTGGAAACGCTGGTGGTGCAGTGGTTAAGAGCTATGGCTGCTAACCAAAAGGTTGGCAGTTCGAATCCACCAGGTGCTTCTTGGAAACCGCATAGGGCAGTTTTACCCTGGCCTATAGGGTCTCTATGAGTTGGAATCAATTCAACGGCAACGGGTTGATTTGGTTACCAATGTAATATTTAAAGTACTGGTTTTCAACCAGTAGACTGCTTTCTTCAAACTAAGTTTTATTTAGAAACTTACAGATGTAAAAAGACAAAGCAGAATGACTGTGTAAAGTTGGCAGGTAGGGAAGAAGCCCAGAGACTCATCAGCTTAGCTCTCTCTTCCCCATATCCCTTCTCTTGTAGTATCCCCTAGGCATCTATTTAGTTATGTGAAATAGTTTTGATCAATCCCCTCTATTATGAAAAAGATATTATGCCACCCACCCACTCTCTCCACCACACACTCACACTCCTAGTATTAGAAAATATCCCAAAATACAAAATACACTTAGAATGAAATTCATCATTAATGATAATGGGTGTAAATCTATATTCTAAATACTCTTCTAGAAAATTTCGAATCTTTTTCGCTGACTTACTGTCCGATCTGGTTAGATTGTCATTGTTTTTACTTTGAAACAGGGTAGATGGAAAACTTCAAACCAGGAGAAGCGTCAGCTCTGCCATTTTCTTATTGTTTGTTTATGCTTGTTTTTTAAATGTACTACAGGTAGTACCCAACTTATGACGTATTCAAATTACAACGAATTGCACTTAGGACTATCTGGTTTTTTTTTTTTAACTTTTGTACATCTTATAGTTAGTAATACGTATTACATATAATGTTGTAGTGTGTCATTTGCTGATGTTACCATTCTCAGATGTTCACTCGCAGATGTTCAATGTTATGATTTACTGTTCAAAATACTGCCGTAGAACAGGCAATAATGGAAACTAAAAAAAAAGAGGTATTCAACTTACAACAGAGTGATTGGAATCAAATCCTGTCGTACATCAGGCACTACCTGTATTTCCAGTCTTTGCAGTAATTGTTTTAAGCCGCTTATCATTTAGTTTGGTTAAAACTGTAAAATATAATCTGCAAATCCACTTAACTGGACACATGTAAAGTGTTCTATGCTGCACTGAGTGGACAGCAGATGAACTGATGAGGGTCCCTCTGCCAGCCCTGCCACACTATGAACTTTCCCACCCCTTTGGGTTATCTCATTTACTGTACATAATATACAGTCACCTGACAATCAACTGAGTAAAAATGCTAGTCAATCTATGTATCAGGAATTAGAGAATTAGTCAAACTTAATATTTTTCTTTCTTATGTTTCATAATAATAATAAACAGTAGTTCTATTTTATATTTGGAGATCATTACTGTGAAACACTCTCTGATTTAAAGCAAAAAAAACCACTCTCTGACTAGTGGAAAGGATGGACATTTATTTTTCATTCAGTTCCACCCCCTGACTGAGGCCCCTAACCCTGCCATAGCATGGAGTGTGGCAGACAGTCTATGGCCAAGCCAGGCCCTGTCATGATGTTCTTGGGTTCAGGGCAGCTAAGGTAAACAGCAATCATCCTAATGGTTACCTGCAAGTCATTCTGTGGGTTCCAGTCTGAATCAAATATGATGCAGGTATCAGCAGCTGTGAGATTGATCCCCAGGCCTCCCGCTCTGGTGCACAGAAGAAAGACAAAGCGGTCTGAGTCTGGCTTACAGAACCGGTCGATGGCTGCCTGGCGCAGGTTTCCCCGTACTCGCCCATCAATTCGCTCATAGGTGTATCTAAGGGGACCCAAATGAACGAAAGCCCAGGCGTTAATCATGACTTCAACAGAGAACAGCACAACAACGCAGGAAGCTGTTGACCAGTGGCCCTAAATCCCTCACTTCTAAATTTGGGCCAAGTGACGGCAGTCTAGAAGGAATCATACCTCCTTGCCACCATATACGCAGGAGGGTGGATACCTAAAACTACATTGTGACATGTCCCCCCTCTCAAAAACAAACAAAACAACAAAAACTAAATAACAAAAAGAAAAAAAACCCAGCAAACTGAGAAGGGCTAGAAGAACTGTAAATATAAAATATCAAACCCACTGCCCAAGCAGCTTGTTTTCAAGTAATCTCCCAGTTTATCTTGTGCTGAATCTAGTAAGACCAGGAAATGCAAATAAAAGCCTTATCCATCTACTTTGAATGGTGCTCATAAGCAGGAATCAGAGTCCAAACCAGTCGCTAGCTGCCTTAGGGTAACCTAAATGGCCAAGAAGATTTTTTTGTCAGGCAGTCCTTTTATGTCTGGGCTGGTCATTTCTAGCCTTATTTTTCCCCAAAGCTTCATAATTTAGGAAAGGTGCGCAGCAAAATCTCTAAGTTTAGAGCTGAAACCAAAGTATTCTGGGCAGTATACTGCCAAGCAAGTACAAATAAATCACAGGAAAGGTCTTTGAGATGTGTGTTTGCGGGAAGAGGGGGCTGAAAAAATTTTAGAGGAAAATAAAGTGAGAAAGTAAAGCTGAATATCGTAAGAAGACGTATACCTGCGTAGAAAGTTAAGAAACAAGGGTGGAAAGCATGGTGGAGAATCTCTCCTGAAGGTGAAAGGAAAGAGAACGAAAAATGAAACTGCTATCGCGGCATATCACTCTCAGTCCATCCAGACAGAAAACACAGAAAGTCCTTTATGAGGCAGATCATACAATTAATACCGAAATAAGATATAGTAGCAATCTGGACAGCTGCTGGGAGTCTTACTCTTTTCTTAATTTACCCCCTGACAACAAAGGCGTTAACAATGGGGATGTTACCTTGGGCTCAATTTTGACGAACAAGCAAGAACTGGCTGGTAAAGTAGATGTGATAGGAACCTTGTAAAAAACGGACCAAGTCACCTAGAGCTGGTAATAGCCAAGAACATGAACTCTGCCAAAAATCAGATTTGTAACTCAGAATTGAGGAAATCCAATCTCTAAAGCTTCAGATAAATAACTGGTCTGAGAATAAGGATAGACACACCAGGGGTAGATGACTCTGTATGGGGATGGCTCTAGAAAAATAAATTTGACAATATAATTCTGACTTCCTTGAGGAAAAGGAAAATCCACGTAAAAAGAAAAAACTAGCACAGGGAAATACACGTAAAGAAACCTGACTAAGATTAATAGAGGACATGTACAAAGCAGAGAAACAAATCTGAAAATAATGTCTTTCTTTAAAAAAGCCACAACATAGCCATATCTGGAATTATGGGTATAGTTTTTTCCTTTCTTCCTTTCTTTTTTTTTTAACATAATAAGCTAAAGATGTGCAGACTAGTAAATAAAACGGGTGGTAGTGGTGACAGGACTGTCATGAAGACAGACGAAGAAGACTTGTGTCATAAGATAAAGGCTAGGGCTGTATGTCCGAATCCTGTAAAATCATGAAGCAATTAGACATAATTATCACTACTATTAATAACAACTACAAGAATAATATTAGTAGCAAGCTCTTAGAAAGTGCCAGCTCTGTACCAGGAACTGATACATGCTTTATATGCATCACCACATTTAATTCTCTCAATAATCCTAATGAAGTAACCCATTGCCATCGAGTTGATTCTGACTCACAGTGACCTATAGCACAGAGTAGAACTCCCCATAGGGTTTCCAAGGCTGTAAAATCTTTACAGAAACAGACTGCCACATCTTTCTCCTGTGGAGCGGCTGTGGGTTTGAACCACTGACCTTTTAGTTAGCAGCTGAGTGCTTTAACCATGGGCCATCTGGGCTACTTAATCCTATGAGATAGTTCCTATTATTAACCCCAATTACACTTGAAGAAATTAAAAAAAAGTAAAACAACTTGCTCAGTTACCAAGCTGGTAAGTGAGATGAACCTAGCTTAATCTGAGTCACAGTCCATACTCTTGACCAGTCTGGAGTATGGCCTTCACATAGTACCTGACATTTTAATATAGTAGGACAGAAAGATTTCCCCAAAAGTTTAAGAGAGAAAATTAGAGATAAATAAGAGACACCAGCAAACTTAGGAAACTTGTAACTCTAACAGAAGGCAGAAGCAGAAACTATAACTGAGTATCAAAATGATTTTGGTAAACTCAATACACAGAGGATGTGTAACAGGTCATTCATAGAAATTTGGCCACGTATGTGATGCAGTGGAAGCAGCACAGGGTTTAGACACAGAAGACAGGGTTGAGATTCAATTAAACACTAGCTGCTGCCGCCGCCACCACTGCTACCACCCATGTGAGTGCTGTAGGCGTGGAGGACTAGATGCTCTTGGACAAGACACTCCTAGTCATCAGTGAATTCTGAGCTAATGCCAGGGGTTTGAGCAAGGAGGAAAAGTCACTAAATACTGATGATACAGCTCAGCTATTACCCAGGGGAAAACAGTCCTGTGAAACTAGACAATAGCATTTTGTCTGCTATGATAAAGCAACAGCTTTATAGATTGTGACGGACGGCTGCAACGATCATTCTCCTTTCTATCACGTATCAATTTTGAGAGCGTGCTCTCAAAGAACATAAAACTAAAATAAAAGTCCAATTATTTAAGCCCTTTGAAATCCCTCCCTACCCCTCCTCACTTTCGAGCCAGCTCCTTTGGCTATGTCCTTACTCCCAAATGAGAGTCTGGCATGAAACTAACTGGGAACGAAGCCAAACTGACAGCTGAAGAGGCAAAGAGGCTCAAGAACAAAGAAAACCTTGAGGGCTAGTAAGTCTGAACAAAGAAATTAGACATCATAAAATTTTCCATACCAAACTTTGGTGCAGCAATTCACCCTCTGCAATAACTATATTCTGAATGAAATCCCTAAGAGTTGATGTGGCTCGTCAAACTGTAACCCTGAGTCACTGTCAGGTATCAATGAGAAGCAGGTGGCACTTGGAAAACCTCTGTGTGCTGGGGGTGGGGGTGGGAGTGACACATTTTTGGCACAACAGAAAGCCTGAAGGGAAATGAGGCGTTCTCATCTCCCAGCAGTAACCAGCTGGAAAACAGAACAAGTGAAAAAGATCCCATTCACAACAGCCACAACATCGCAAACTCAGTAAGAAATCTGCAAGGTTTGGTCACATGACACTAGGAGCCATGTTTGTTCTGTTCACCATTGTGTCACCATTGTGTTCACCATGGTCTAGTACATGGTAGGCACTTTATAAATACTGACTGAATGAATGGTATACTTAAAAGACCTGAATCAGTGTGGTGAATAGCATGTTTCTCAATTATGCAAAGATGTCAATACTACCCTACTTAATGTGTAAAAGTTAATCACAACCCCCACAAATGAATATATGTATACACAGACAGACATAAATATGTAAATGTGCGTGTATACATATACATACATTTTTTTGGAGTTGGACGCTAGATTGGTCAGGAATAGGTTAAAAGAATAATTCTGGAATTCACCTAGAATAATACACGAGGAAAAGGAATAGAAGTGTTAATCAAAAGAATAGAAAGGCTTGACACATACCTGGCATATGTAACACTTCAGAATATTTTATAGTATTTTATATAAATGGAAGTCAGATGAACTATTTAATAAATGGTGGTTAGAAAATTACACATTACTGGAAATAAAATAAAATTAGACCCCATTATATGCCATTTACCAAAATTACAGAAGAACTGAAGACTGAGATGTAAAAAAAAAATTAAAGAAATCTAGTCTGAAGATGGAGATGTAAAAAAAAAAATTAAATCTAGTCAAAGATCATGAATGAACGTGCACATTCAATTCTTCATCACCCCAAACCTCTAGTAAAAGGATATTTTAAAAAGGCATAAGCTTCTTCCCTTTAATAAACTCACAAATAGGACAGAAGTAGAAATGATAACAAAATTTCAGAAGCTGGAAAGCAGGCCAAGTGGTAAATGATTTCAAGAAAGCAGAATCTCAGGCAAAAAAGACCTAATTTAACACTGTACAATAGACACAGGGCCAGGCACTGAGAGCACCACGTACCCTGAAAGTGGGAATGCAGAGTCCCAAAACAGGGGAACTGACTGCATATTTGTTTAAGTGTCCGTTAGCCTCCTATATCACCCACCCCAGCCTGAGAGGATAAAAACAGAGGCCCTCTACTCTCTCTACCACAGGACACACCAATCACAATTAAAGGGAAGACAGACACACATTGAAATCTCCTAGTCCTCACCAGGAAGCAGTCATTCATATAGAACAAGGAGATACTGCATGGTTTAAAGTCATACTTATTTAATCTGTGTGCTGAGCAAATAATCAGAGAAGCTGGATTATATGAAGAAGAACGCAGCATCAGGATTGGAGGAAGAGTCATTAACAACCTGTAATACGCAGATGACACAATCTTGCTTGTTGAAAGTGAAGAGGCCTTGAACCACTTGCTGATGAAGATCAAAGACTACAGCCTTCAGTATGGATTACACCTCCACATAAAGACAACCAAAATTCTCCCAACTGGACCAATAAGCAACATCATGATAAATGGAGGAAAGACTGAAGTTGTCAAAGATTTCATTTTACTTGGATCCACAACCAATGCTCATGGAAACAGCAGTCAAGAAATCAAACAACATATTGCATTGGGCATACGTGCTGCAAAAGACCTCTTTAAAGTGTTAAAAAGCAAAAATGTCACTTTGAAGACTAAGATGTGCCTGACCCAAGCCATGGTGTTTTCAACCACATTATATGCACATGAAAGCTGGACAATGAATAAGGAAGATTGAAGAAGAATTGATGCCTTTGAATTATCGTGTTGGCGAAGAATACTGAAAAT